CATCTCACCAATGTCGTGGAGGAATTGGAAGAGGACTCCGATGGCAGGATGAGAGCCCTGTTCATGCACAACGTGCAGCGAGTGGGTCTCAGGTTTAACTATAAGCAAGAACCATACGACGACCCGAGAGTGCGACAGGCACTATGGCTGGTCATCGACAAGGACGAGGTCGTCGAAAAAGTCCTCCGAGGCAATGGCAATATTGGCACCCATTTTAACGTTGGGTTTGCGCCCAATGAGAGCTTTGATGAGCTTTACACGTTGCCAGGCTACCAGCGAGACCCAGACGGCACCCAAGCGGATGCTGACATAGCCGAGGCCAAGAGGCTTATGGCAGAAGCAGGATACCCCGATGGGTTTAGCGATGAACTGATAACGAACGTTATAGGATGCTCGCCGCCTACGGCTCAGTTGGTGAGCCAACAGTGGAAAGAACACCTGAACGTGGACATGACCATTAGCCAATACGACACGGCCACCCTCTACGTGAGGTACCGGGATACCACCTTTGGGGTCCTCGCTCCCTGCGGCTCCGGCATAATCCTTCCCGATCCCTCGGACATCCTTAACCAGTGGTATGGGAAGGACACGATGCGGAACGCCCTGAACTGGACAACGCCTCGGTTCGAGGAACTAAAAGAGGCCCAAGTCAGAGAGTTGGACCCGGAGAAGCGCAAGCTGATCTTCGCGGAAATGGTAGATGTCCTCCGCGAGGAGGTCTCCCACTACCTGCCGATAGGCTGGATGCACGCCGGTGGGGCTCTAGACTACCGAATCAGAAATTACCACGTACCCAGGACCATCCAGCTGGTCCACAAATGGGATCAAGCTTGGTGGGATGAGAATGCCGAGAAACCACCGGTGGGCACTGGGTACCAGCCTTAGGCAGCAGTGCATTGGCAATTACATCCCGTAGCGGAAAAATCAACCGCCACCAAGGCACCCTTGAGGAACCATGACCACTTACATCATAAGAAGGTTGCTCCTCTTCATTCCGACGATTCTCATCGTCACCATCATCATCTTCCTGCTGATGTGGATCGTTCCGGGCGACACCGCCATGCTCATCCTGACCGGGAATGACCCCAACGAAGGAGGCCGGGTCAATCTCGCCGATGTTGAACGTCTCCGAGAGGAACTAGGACTAAATCAACCTGTTCACGTCCAATATGGCGATTGGATCTGGAACATGGTGCGAGGGGACTTGGGCGAATCTCTCTGGTACCAGACACCCGTGGTTGATGAACTGGGCGACCGGTTTCTCACCACGATACAACTTGCGGTGATGGGCATATTGATGGCCTTTGTGGTGGCAGTTCCATTGGGCATATTGTCTGCGGTAAAGCAAGACACCCTGCCGGACTATATGAGCAGGATCTTCGCCCTCCTGGGGATTGCCATGCCGACTTTCTTGATAGCCATCATAGTCACTTACTGCCTGGCATATGTGTTGGACTGGTTGCCTCCCCTGGATTACGCTAATTTGTGGGAAAGACCCGCTCACCAATTTACAGCAAATGGTGTTCCCGGCCCTTGCCATAGCGTTGCATGACTTGGCTTTTACCGCTAGGGTCACCCGCTCATCGATGCTGGAGGTGATGCGCGACGATTACGTGCGAACGGCTCGCGCCAAGGGGCTCACTGAGTTAATGGTAATTGCCCGCCACGCTCTCAAGAACGCGCTGCTGCCTATCATCACGGTTTCGGGCTACCAGTTCGGTCGCCTGTTGGGCCGCGTAATCATCGTGGAGGTCATTTTCCTGGTTCCGGGCGTAGGGACGATGTTGATTGACGCGATCCACCACCGCGATTTTGTCGTGATCCAGGCTGTGGTGGTGCTCGTGGCGGCGGTGGTCATGTTCCTGAACCTGGTCATCGACATCGTTTACGGAGTGCTTGACCCGCGGATCCGCTATCAATAGCGCACTGACGATCAACGGAGCAGATTATGGCAACACGCGACATAGCCGCAGAGGGTGGCGTTCACGTTCGCAACGCGCTTCTTGGTATTCCCGCCGCGTACCGGTCCGCCGTGGCCCTGGCTCGCCGCAAACCCCTGGGGGCAGCCGGCGCCGTGATCGCACTCATCCTGATACTAATGGCCGTCGGCTCCCGGTTGGCTATCCTGCCCGTCGCGGACCCGTACGAATCCGTCGGCGACATATTCCTCGGCCCCAGCCGCGAATTCCCAATGGGGACCGACGTCATTGGACGGGACATGTTGAGCCGGGTGCTGTACGGCACTTGGATTTCGCTCTACGTGGGCCTGGGGAGCGTACTGATCGGGATTACCGCGGGTTTCATGCTCGGCATCGTAAGCACCTACGCCGGGGGGTTCGTTGACCTGTTCTTCCAGCGCGTGGTCGACGCCCTGATGTCGATGCCCGGCCTGATCCTAGCGCTGGCCATCATGGCCATCCTGGGCTCCTCCCTGAACAACGTCGTCCTGGCCATCGTGATCGGCATGATCGCCCCCGTGGTGCGGACCGTCCGCTCCCAGGTGTTGACGCTCAAGGAGATGGACTACGTCACCGCTGCAAGAGCCATTGGCGCCCGTCCGCAGCGCATCGTGTTCCGCCACATCATGCCCAATTGCATGGCCATTTACATCATCATGGCGACGTACTACCTGGGGTTCGCGATAATTATCGAGGCGTCGCTGAGTTTCCTTGGCGTGGGCGCGCCGCCGGACGATCCCAGTTGGGGCGGGATCCTGACCGTGGCCAGCCGGGAGTCGCCGGAGACGGGCATCTGGCTGCTGGTGTTCCCCGGCATCTTCATATTCATCGCCGTGCTGGCCTTCAACGTCCTGGGAGACGCCCTGCGCGACATCCTTGATCCACGGCTGCGCGGCCGGTAGGGGTAAGCGACGCAGAAAACTCTCTGGGGGCGGGCCCGCGGGCCTGCCCCTTTTTGCTGTAGTAGATAGGTGTGCGCGGATTCCCAGCGTATTGACATTGAACAGTCATAACAGTAGCATCGCCGCCAGTCGGCGTTTCCCAGCCGAGGACTATTTTTCGGCTCAGCGCGACCCCTCTGTCGTAACCTCAGCCACATCCCAAGGAGGATCGATTCAATGGATTTCCGACCCTTACGCCATCCGCGAGTTCTATTGACGCTCGGTGCGGTGGCGCTGTCCGTTTTTATCGTAGCCTGCGGAGGCGCCGCCACTGAACAGTCGTCAACCGGCGGCACTTCCAACGCACCCGAAGCGGCGGCTGCCGCAACGCCGACCCTGGACCCGTTCGCCGGCAAGTCCAGGAACCGACCCCCACCGCCCGGCTGGATGTCGTCGCAACTGCGGTCCCGGTACCCACTGCGATCGCGGTCGATCAGCGTCCCGATTGGTGGCAGGAAGGCGAGAGCAAGCATTACCGCGGTGATTTTCCACTGGTAGCCACCAGTAACCCCGGTTTCTGGGACGTTCACTACGGCGGTTCCATGAACACCGTGCTGATCCCTTCCGGCCCGCGGTTCAACCAGCTACTGGAATATAACCCCATCAATCCTGGCGAGATTATCGGCGACTTGGCCGTGAGTTGGGAGTCCTACGAGGACGGCGGCGAGTTCGGGTATATCTTCAACCTGCACCCCGACGCCAACTTCTCCGATGGACAGCCAGTCACCGCCGCTGACGTGGCTTTCTCCATCGACCGAATCACTTTGGGACAGGTCGAGGAAGGCGTCCTTCGCGCCCGCACAGGGTTCCTCAACAACTTCGTGGTGTACGGTACCGCCGAAGCAATCGACGACAAGACCGTGAAGATCCCTCTGCGTTTCCCGGCCGCGGGCTTCCTCCCGAACTTGGCCTCCGACTACATGAAGGTGTACCCCAAGCATGTGGCCGAGAACTTGACACAGGAACAGGCCAACACGGGCAAGACCCAGGCCGAAGCCCTGACCGCCATCAACGCGGGTTCGCCCGACAGCCTGATCGGCTTGGCTAGTACGCTCCGCCCCTGTGCTCCACACACACAGGACGTTAGGGTATTCCTTCGATCGCAACCCCAATTACTTCAAAGAAGGCCGGCCGTTCTTTGACGGGCTGAAGATATTCCTGATCAGAGACACCGCCCGCCGCCTCACGGCCTTGCAGGCCGGGCAGGTCTACGGCACTTACCAACCCGTAACCGGGGTAACCGTCCTGAAGACATGGCCCGCTTGGAAGATGACACCAACGGTCAGGTCAGGGCTTTCATCCTGGAAGCTTCCGGTATCCAGGCCTTCTTCCTCAACCACGACAAGCCGCCCTTCGACGACGCTCGTGTTCGGAGAGCCTTCTACTTGGGTCTTGACCGCGACCTCGGCGTTGCAAAGTCGATCCTTGGCTTCGGGCAGCCCGGCACTTTCTTCGCTCCCGGCGTGGTAGAAGACTTGGAAGCCCTGCGCGCCGGTAACTCCGCATACGGAGACCGGGCGGCAGCCTTGACCGAAGCGCGCCAACTCCTGACCGAAGCTGGCTACCCTGAGGGTTTTGAGATCACCCTGAACGTGGTTAACGGCAACCCTTCGCTGTCCAGCGCCGAGGTCGTCGCCCCGCAGATGCGGGAGGACCTGAACATCGACATCAAGATCCAGCCCACCGACTTGGCCACCATGTACGTTGGTTTGCGCGACGGTGTCGCCAACTTCGACTCTGTAGGCACCGGCATCATCCTGCGAGATCCCGGCGACATCATTAACCAATTCTATCTGCAGGACGTTCTCCGCAACCCTCACAATTGGCAAAAACGACGAGGTTGACGAATTGATCGACCTGCAGAACCGGGAAGTTGATCCGGCGCTTCGCCAGCAACAGCTGGAAGGCTTGGCGGACATCCTGCACCGCGGCGAGAAGCCATTGGTTGCCTTACTTCTGGTACTCCAGCGGCGGTGCTCTGGATTGCCGTATCCGCAACTTCTATTACCCGCCTACCGTTCAGCTCATCAAGAAGTGGGACCACGTCTGGTGGGTCCGGCGGTGAGGCATCGGAGTGCGACCACAGCGCGAACTCCGACCGGGGTTACAAACCTTAATCACCGCGCTTAACGGGGTTGCCCACACATGATCGGCCGGCCGAGGTCTACCCGCGCCGGCCGATCACGTGATATGCCGCCCGCACCCGCCGAGACCTCGCCCCGCCGACACACTCCCTCACATACCGACGGTTCGGCAGGAGTTGAGGGATGTCTCAGTACCTGATTAGACGGTTGCTCCTCTTCATCCCAACGATGTTATTGGCGACGATCTTGGTGTTCGCGCTGTTCTCCATACGTGCCGAGGTGCGCCGTATCGTATACTGACTCACCGGCGAAGATGCCGGTGGTCGGGTAACCAACGACGACTTCGAACGTTTGCGCGAAGACCTTGGCTTGAACCGTCCCGTCTATGTGCAGTACGCCGACTGGCTTTGGGGCGTCGTACGTGGAGACCTCGGAGATTCCCTCTACTACGGACACCTCGGCTTCGAAATGTCGAAAGGTTCCGCCAGAATTTGAGTTGCGGGCTGCAATCGTGATGGCATTCGCCGCCGCCGTTCCCCTGGGATCATGCGGCATGAAACAGATATGGAGGGTAGTCGACTATGCGGCGCGTGATCGCCCTGCTGGGAATACGCCATCATGCCGACCCTTCCTGGATCGGGTTCTTGATCTACGGCCCCTGGGGTATCAGGCACGTGGTGGTTACCTCCACTGGAATCGCCCACTTTGGGAAGAAGACTCCGATACAAAACCGCCAGCTGATGCTATTGCCAGCCGCGGTGATAGGGTTTCACGACATGGCCTTCACGGCGCGAGTAACCCGCTCCGCCATGCTGGAGGTAATGCGCGAGGACTACATGCGCACCGCCCGCTCCAAGGGTTTGCGCGAATGGGTGGTGGTTGGCCGACAACGCCAATGAAAAAACGGCGTTGCTGCCGGGGTGTGATTGATTCATGGTTTCCGGTTCCAGTTAGGCCGATTGCTGGGGGGTCATCATAGATTGAAGCAGATTTTCGTGGTGCCTGCGTCGCAAGTCCTGCATTGATGCCATCAACCACCGTGACTTTCCGGTGATCCAGGGTGTGATCCTCATGACGGCGGCGGTCGTGTTGCTGCTCAACCTGATCATTGACATGCTTTACGGGATACTGGATCCACGGATTCGATATCTATAACGAAGGGTTGGCCGGCAAAGCATGCCCGCGAGGCGAAATACTGCAGGGTGTTTTCATGATTTGTCTGATTCAATCCTCGGAAAAAGGTGGTTTCCGACCGGGAGGGGTCGACCCGCCGGGCATGGCAGCGCGAGACGTGGACTGGATCCACACGCGTGTTCGCACAAAAACAAAAACTCTGGGGGCCATTGGAGGTCCTGATAAATGTCCGGGTCATGGCGTGGTAGCACCCTGGCCCCGATACTGGCTCCTTACGACCCGCGCTCCACGCCCGCCCTTCCCTGGGAGGCGCCGAACGCCACCTACATTCTCGGAGCCGACTACGTGGGACGCGACGTACTGAGCCGCCTGATATACGGCGCGCGCATCTCGTTGTACGTCGGAATGGGCAGCGTGGTGGCGGGCATAACCGTCAGCTTTGTCCTCGGCGTGGCTTTGACTTATGCCGGCGGCATCATTGACATGGTCGCGCAGCGGGTGGTGGACGCCCTGATGTCATTGCCGGGTCTGTTGATCGCCCTGGCGATTATGGCGGTGGTAACCCCCTCCCTGAACACCGTGGTCCGGCCATGTCGTGCATCTGCGCAGGATCTCGCGATCCGGTGATCCCGGAACGGTCAGCATCGCAGGAGTTGCTATCTGCTCAAGCGGACACTGACTACGTAACCGCGGCCAGCTATCGGAGCGCCACCGCTGGCCGGATCATTTTCCGGCACATCGTGGGCCCAACTGCTCGCCACCTACCGTGGTGCTGCGCCACTTCTGATCTCGGCTTTGCCATCATCATCGAATAGTCGCTTTCTTCCTGGGTCGTGGGGAGCGCCGCCGACCAGCCCGCTGGGGCGGATGTGCTGGTGCGGGCTGCTGCGCGCCACGTGAATGAGCGGCCCTGGCTGGCGTCTTCTCCCAGGGCTCCGCCATCTTCGTAGTGGTGATGGGTTTCAACCTGCTGGGCGACGCTTTGCGTGACGGTGTTCGACCCC